GCCCCCGGCCTGCCCGGCCGGGTGGCTAATAGAATGAGGCAGTCTCGTGTGCAGGCGCCTGCGTGCTCCTCAGCCCGCTCATCAGCCGCCCGCGCCGCTCTCGCGTATTGTTAGCACATTAACACTCTCGCCCGGGGCTGAACGCTGAACTAGGTCCTAAGGAAATCTGCCGGCGGACTCCACCCGCCCCTTCGTCTCGCGAAACACAAACCCCAGGCAGGCCATGGCTACTTACCGCCAGACACGTGGGCGCGCTTGCCGCCGCCGCCATACAGTACAACCCTCACTTTTATTTTCTTTTCGCGAGAGAAATAAAGTGTTTTGGGGGAGGGGGAGGTTCACAAGGAACACACGCTGGCTGTTTGCGGTAGAGTGAAAAAAGAGAACAACAACAAAATAAACGGAAAGGGGGCCATAAACGAGAATAGTATGAAAAAGTGGCCAATCAAAAACGTGGCGCGGGGCGGAGGGGGCGGCGAGGACCATTCCTCCGCTCTCCCTCCTGCACATGACGTAGGTACACTTTAACCCCTCCCCCCTCCCCCAACCGGACCATTTCCGGAAACGCAAAGCGCGCACGTCGCGGAAACGGACCGCAAATGGCCGAGCTGGGGAGGGAGTGCGGCAGTTGGGTAGGGGAGAGGGATTCTGGTGTCTACGGGGAGATTTGCCTTGAGCGGGCGGGCTGCCGGGACGAGGACGTGGCTCGCCAGGGAGCCCCACGCTGCTGCCCAGGTGGGCTGTGGGCTGCGCCAGCTCCTGAAGGTCACCCCCGTGCCCGCCCTTTTCTTTTCCATCCTCGGTACGGTAATCAAAGGGATACTGGAGCTGGGAGGGCTGCCCGGGGCGGGGGCTGCTGCGCGGATTTCCGCGACGACGACGAAGAATGACGGGTCGCGAAACGAAGTAGAACCCTGCCGGGCAGGCGGCAGTAGGGCGGCCCGGCCCGGCGGCGAGCGGCTAAATGCCGGCCGAATCCGCCGCCAAATCCCTGTCCAAATCCCTCTCTGCTCGTCCTCCCTCTCCGTCTAAGACAAAGGGCCCGGTGCTAGCTGGACGGGCGGACAAGAGGCACGCGCCAAACTTACCTACGCCGACCTGTGCCTTGGAATCGTCATCAACTCGGCACAGAGATGGGCGGGGGCTCCTGGAAACTCTCAGCCCCCCCCCCCCCCCCGCGAGGCGCAGTAGCAGAGCGAGCGCGGGGCGCCCGGGTTGTAGACAGGCGAGCCGAGCAGCGCGGCTGGGCTATGGCACCCTTGTCACTCACCCCGCCTCGCCCCGCCCTGCCAAATAGGAGGCGTTCTCTCCGGCTCACATCTCGAGTTTTATAGACGACCAGGCAGCGGGGATAGGGAAGGAGGGGAGGAGGGCATCGGAAACTGTGTAGCGGGGGGCTGTAGCCGGCGCTGTGCCCCGGGCGGCGAGGGGAGGACGAGAAGGCTTGTGTGTGCGTGTGTGTGTGTGTGTGAGTGGCGAAGAAAAGAAAAGGATAATGGGCAGATAAGAGGACACGCAGAGGAGGGAGGCAGACAAACCCGCCAGAGGCAGCACAGCGCCCCTCTCCGGCCCGGCAGCAGGGGCGAGGCGGGCTGCGGGGTCGGGCCCCGGGGGCGGGAAGGTGACAAGTTGGGCGGGAGGAGTCCGGCCCGCGCCGGCGGCGCGGAGCGGGGACCGCGGGGCGGGGACCGCGGGGCGGGGACCGCGGGGCGGGGACCGCG